AGCGTTTTCAAAAACTTGCACTTTGAAACCCGTTTTCAAAAATATGCGTTTTCAGTCCCCAAACCGCCGTTGTCGTGTAAACGAACAGGCAAAACGCATAAAAAGTTTCCCGTTTTTGGCTGAAAACGTTGTCGTGTAAACGGCCCCTAAGTTACTAATGAATGACCTCTTGCCCGTACCAGCAGGAAAGACTTCCAGTCCCAATGTACAATTCTAATCCCAAGTAGATCCCTTGTGAACCTTTCTGGCAAGTGAATAGTGCACCTCCTATTCGTGTCTGTATTTGTATCAGTTTAGAACAGGGTTTCCATTAGCTGGTAAATCCCAGTATTTGACTGGTAAAAACTCTGCACGACCAGCAAATTCAGATCCTGTCAGACACAATATCCCGTAAAAATATTCACTTAAAGGACATATAAAATTTAAAAGTAAATAAAGTACATATAATTTTTAAAGTAAGTAAAGTTCTTTTCTACACCTCCTTATATTCAATAATGCAATAATTCAGTAATGTCTCTTTAAATGAATATAGACAATATGCTGAAGGAAAAAAGCCACTGTTTAAATGTAGCTGTTTAAGCGCACTGCCACTGGTGGTTGTATCATTACCTACTGCTAGCCTCTAATTCATATATCACTGTTTTCTAACAAACCACTTTCTGCTGACATGCACAGAAAATCCAGATACATTATTCAATTACAGAATTAAAAATTCCTGTTACCCAGTCATATACACTCTATTCAAGTCCAAAATTAAAATTTTCTCTAACAAGTTAGATACTACTTTACTCAATTCCAAAGAGCAAATTTCCTCTTCCATGCGGAACTCAAGGCAGCTGATACCGAGCGCTTGTGGCAAATAGTCACTGTACAATCGCACGGTTGTACACACAATGGCAAAACAGTCAACTCTTAAAAGTTTCTTGCTAAAAGCAATTCTGATCAGCTTAATCGAGACAGTGAGGAACATGTTGAGGTCACAGAGACATATGATCCTGGAGACTAATGATCTTGCTGCACTGAAGCAGAAATGTCATACATTTGAAAATACGCATTCCAAGGTAACATTTGGGTGCTTCGTTAAATACATTTCAACCTAATTAAAAGATAAATAAAATGTTATTAGCAGCCGTGCCATAAAGTAATATTTTTCGTTTTTCATCTTTTGTTGTGTTCATAGGTGTGTTCAAAAATGTTAATTAAACTCAAATTGTACTTGATGGTGTCATTTTTTCACAGCAGGAGTAAATAACAAACGACCGGAATTATACTCATTTGTCCAGTAAACTGCGTCGTTCCCAGACACTGTGACCGGCACCAAAAATTCCTAGAGGAAATTCTGGTTTAGAACACATTGTCAGTTCATTCCGACTGATATATTCATATTTGATTACATCCCTAATGTAAGGTGAACAATCTCTGACTGAGAAAATGTAACCTAAACTGGCAGAAAACCTGAAAAAAATTATTTTAGAAATAAGGCAGAGGCACTTAATCGCTTGTGCTTTGTCAAATAGTGTTGTCATTGAATTCCTAAACAATATTTGTTGATGCGAAGTAGTAAAGTCGGATATATACTGGTGAATTTAATTCACAGAGGATGTCTTTGAAGAAGAAGTTACCTAAAATACTACCACAGTCACCCAAATAAGCATGGATGGATTCTTTTAGCCAATTAAGTCTATTGAAAAACAGACTCTGACATATTGTTATGTGCTTGTCAGATATGTTATGTAATGAATGTTGGGGTGTTAGAGGCACTGAGACAGGCTGATAAAGACTAAAAAAATCAATATCAATTACCTGGCTATTGGAGAACCGTCAAGAGGGGAACAGGTTTTTCCCATCCTTCTTTTTACAACCAAGTAATTGGGTTTTTTTGGTTATAAAAAGCTAAATAATCCCATGTGGCTATAATTGGGCAGTTAACCTTGAAGTTATAGATACGCAAAAGCAAAGCAGGCCCACAAAAGCATAGCAAACTGTGATTTTCAATAGCTGGTTGGATTATTTACTGAAAACTATCCTGCAGGCGGAAGCCTTGTGAGAGAGACACTCACTGTACTTCTTAGCAGCACTAATCTCTTTCACTTCTGTTTGGAAGAAGAATGATCTTATTACTTTTAGACTTTCATTATCTATTTTTATTTAGTTAACCTTTATTTAACGAGTCCCTTCCAAAAGTATTGGAACAGCAAGGCCAATTCTTTTGTTTTTGCTATACACTGAAGACATTTGGGTTTGAGATCAAAAGATGCATATGAGATGATAGATCAGAATTTTAGCCTTCATTTCCTCATATTTACAGCTATATGTGTTAAACAACTTAGAATATGGCAGCTTTGGTGGCAGACCACCCAGTATTTGGTGAGCAAAAGTATAAGAACAGATAGTCTTAAAGCATATGGCACCTTTGGTGGCAGACCAATACTGGGTGAGCAAAAGTACAAGGAGAGATAGTCTTAAAGCAAGAGTCTTCAATCTTATCCACCAAGGGCTTTCATTACAACCAAACAGGAGCCACACCTGATTCCACTTGTTTAATTAGTTCACCTTAGTCTCCCATCAACTATCAAGTGTTCCTCCAATTTGGCAGTAATGAAAGCCTGCAGCCACACCAGCCCTTTGCGGATAAGATTGAAGGCCCCTGTATTAAAGTAAATTAAGTAAATAACACTTAATGATTGGTTGCACATCCCTTGTTTCCAATGACTGCATCAAGCCAGCAGCCCACTGACATCACCAAACTGTTGCATTCTACTTTTGTGAAGCTTTTCCAGTCTTGTACTGCAGCTTCTTTCAGTTGTTGTTTGTTTTGGGGGGTTCTCCCTTCAGTCTCCTCTCCAGGAGGTGAAATGCATGCTCAGTTGGGTTAAGGTCTGGTGATTAACTTGGCCAGTCTAAAAACTTGCACTATTTTCCCCTGATGAAGTCCAGTGTTGTGTTGGTGGTGTGTTTTGGGTCATTGTTTTGCTGCATGATGAAGTTCTTCCCAATTAGATTGTGGATGCATATCTCTTTAAATTGGGACACACACTGTTTCTGTAGACTTCTGAATTCATTCTGCTGCTACCATCATGAGTTACATCATCAGTTAAGATTAGCAGTTAGTGAGCCCGTTCCAGAAGCAGCCATGCAAGCCCAAGCCATGACACTACCTCCACCATGCTTGACTGATGAGGATGTATGTTTCATGAGCAGATCCTTTCTTTCTCCACATTTTGCCCTTTCCATCACTTGGTAGAGGTTAATCTTGGTTCCACAACTGTTGTGACTCCACTCTTTGTTTATTTGCGAATTCCAGGCCTTCCGATTCTTACTGCTGATGAGTGGTTTGCATTTTATGGTATGGCCTCTATATTTCTGCTTTGAAAGTCTTTGAACAGTAATACCTTCACCCTTGCCTTCTGGAGGTTGTCGGTGATGTCACTGACTCTTGTTTTTTTGGGTTTTTCTTCATATCTCTCACAATGTTTCTGTCATCAACTGTTGTTTTCCATGACCAACCTGTTCAGTGTCTGGTTGTTAGTACAAGCAGTGGTTTCTTTCTTTTTCAGCACATTCCAAATTGTTGTAAGGGCTATGCCCAATGCTTGTGCGATGGCTCTGATCAATTCTCCCTCTTTCCTCAGATTCAAAATGGCTTGCTTTTCTCCCATAGATAGCTCTCTTGTCTTCATGTTGGTTTATCCTTTTTAACAACACATGCAGCCTTCACAGGCGAAACCCAGGGCTCAACCCAAGAGTAAACATTCAAAGCTATTAAGTGTTTAAACAGTCAATCTAACAGGGCACATCTGGGCAACAAAAGTATAAAGTAGAATATTTGAAATATTTACATGAATTTCAGAGTTTCTTCATATTTGGTATGTCCCCTTATTGCTTTAATGACAGTGTGCACTTGAGCTGGCATGGTCCATTTTAGATCAAATCCATCAGAGTGTCGTCTGAACACATGCTTCAATAGAAGAGATTAGGCATGTGGAAAATATGACCTTTTGTACAAAGCAGTTAACATGGTTAGTAGCACAAATTTGCTTAAATTTAAATAGGGACTTAGAAATAGTGCAGAATCTTGAATATTAAATGTTGTTCTTCTTCTTCTTCTGGCTGCTCCAGTTAGGGGTCACCATAGCGGATCAGTGGTCTGTATATTTGATTTGGTACAGTTTTTACGCCGGATGCCCTTCCTGATGCAACCCTCCCCAGTTTTATCCGGGCTTGGGTCTGGCATTGGGAGTGCACTGTCTTGTACAACACTAGTGGCTGGGGTTGGTTCCCTGGCTGGAAATCGAACCTAGGCCACAGCGTTAAGAGCACTGAGGCCTAACCACTAGTCCAAAATTTCAAAATTCTAAAACTTTCCAAGATAAGTTATATATATATATATATATATATATATATATATATACACGCCTTAGAACTGCCTTATCTTACAACAGGGTTTACATAAGATCTTTAGGGGCTTTACTTACTGGAAATATGGTTTAAACCACATGTCACTAGTGTTTTCTTGTTTTTTTAATTAATGTACTCCACCTAGACACATTTATAAGAATAACCCAGATGCATTTGAATGAGGCAGAGATGTTGCTAGAATTTATTACGTGGTTTGGCATTACAGAAAAATTTAGAAACTCCTTAGAAAGTCGGTGTGGATCCATGTGCAGATTATTTTAAGTCAAAATTTAAAATGAGGAAGAACACGAAGACTTAAGCAAAACAAGAACCTAGACTAGGAATGAGACAAGAGTAACAGTCTAGATAAGTTTATTCAACACTTCAGCAAGAGGGTATATAACGACAAACCAATCAAGAGTGGAACACAAAACACTTGAATATGATGGAGATACAATGGGCTACTTGCATTCAGTGCTATGATGCAATTTCTTTCACACTTGCACCAAGTTATAGACTTTGTGGACAGCCCACTGAATTGCCACTGAATTTTCTGAATTCTTATCTCATTAAATCTTGTCAAAAATAGAGAAGGAAAGTGACTTTTAAGGAAGACATTTGTGTCAATTTTAGTGATACTCAGAATGTCCTAGACCCAATTTACAAATTTAATCTTAGCCTTGATCTTATCATGATTTCATGATCAATGTTAGTAAGGTACTTGGAGTCCCCTTGAGCTAACCTGTATCTGATAGCTGTCTGATCTATTTTGAATTTTAGATAAGTATGAACTTTGGCACCAAGACCTGCCTGTGTCGGAACTGTGTGTTCACATCACTTGCAGCTAAAGCAGTCGTAGATAACCTCTAGACCTAAGCAGACTATACAATGTAACCAGTGACAGAGCCCACAAGAAGGTCTAACTAGAACAGTATTCCACTGTTTAAGAAAAGCAACTATTAAAAGACTTGGAACATAGTATAGTTACAAACATGTGTCTTTATAGTATGAGCAAACATGGTAGAAACATTGTAGTACTAGTTTCTTGTTTCAGCCAACTCAGAGTATTATTGTATTCTTATTTAACACTGCAGCATCAATGGAGATTCCTCAAAGCCCCATTGGTAATTTGCAAACATAATAATGGTCTTTCACTTGTAATTATATTTATCAGTTCTGCTCGATTCAGCAGCATAGCTACTCAAAACAAAAAAACCATCCAAGACCTTAAAGCTTGGATGAATTGAAAAGTCCTTCTTCTAAACTCTGAAACCAAAGGCTAAGTTGTAAATGACATTGGTGTATCCCTTGATGGTATCTATTATTTGATTCACATGTAAGTAATTTCTCTAAAACTGCATGTTGTCATTTTAAAAATATTGGTTATGAATGTGTTGATGGGTGGCTGCCTTGCTGTATCTTCAAGTAAGCTAGTTCACATTGCAAACATACCAGTGTCTTTACCAGGAAAAGATAGTGAGAGCATATTACCCCAGTCTCCTTAAAACCTATTCACAAAACTACTACAGTCCCCTCTGAAAGTATTGAAACAGCAAGGCCAACTCTTTTGTTCTGTTCTCAACTGCTGTTGTTTTCCATAGCTGACCTGTTCAGTGTCTGGTTGTTACTACACCAGTGGTTTCTTTCTTTTTCAGGACATTCCAAATTGTTGTATGCCCAATGCTTATGCAATGGCTCTGATTGATTTTTCCTTTTATCTTAGCTTCAAAAGGGCTTACTGTCTCCTATAGACAGCTCTCTGGTCTTCATGTTGGTTTATTCTTTTTAACAACAAATGCAGTCTTTACTGGCAAAATCCAGGGCTCAAACCAACAGTAGACATTCAGAGCTATTAATTGTTTACACAATTAATCTAACAGGGTACACTTGGGCAACAAGAAACACCTGTCAGTCACATGTTCCAATATTTTTGATTGTTTGATAAATAAATGGGTTCAAACAAAAGGTGCCATGATCTAGATATAACTATCTGGAAAGCTGAAATCCTGATCTATGGTCTCATGTTCATCTTTTGATCTCAAACATAAATGTCTTGAGTGTATTCTTTTGTCAAAAACAAAAGAATTGACCTTGCTGTTCCAATACTTTTGGAGGCTACTGTAAGAAGAACTATTACAATTGAATTGTTAAGAGTAAGAGGAAGGGTTGACCAAGTTTCTAAGTCTGATGGAATGTTTCATGAATGAATGTAGACAGTGATTCACTGAGGTGGTAGTGGACTGTGCAGGATATCATACAAATAAAATAATAAAAATACAATGCTGATTTCATGCATGAAAACAATCATCGGCAAATCGTCAGTATAGCCTATACATGTATTTTAATGTGTGTAAAATGTACGTTTATTCAGAGTACTGATTTACAGTCCTTATCTACCACATCATACCATAGTCTAGCCATGGCTCTGTAGTATGTAAACACCTAAAAGAACACATATTTGACATGTCAAATATTTCATTTTTATATTTTTATTGTAATCGGACTATGGATCATCAAATTTATCATGAAGACCTTTACATAAGCCACATCATTATAGATACTCAGTTATGAAAAATGCTGTTATTTCAACTCATCTTCTGAAAGATGCTTTTCACAAACCACCCTTATACTCTGAAATATTATTCCAGAGAACGTTAGGAGCACTAGCTTTGTTGCTGTTTTTTAAATCCATATTAAAACCATACTTGTTTTGTTATTCTGGATTATTCATAGTCCCTTTAACTTCATCTCATTTTTCATCTTTAATCATTTAGGACTGTATTCAGTCCTTCAAAAGTTTGGTCAATATTTATGTGGGAAAATTTCTCAATATCCAGAATTTCTGGATGATCCATTCAGATTATTAACTACCTACGTGCAGTTCATGCGTATGAGCTCTTGGGCCAGGGGTTTCAGTTGTATCTAGACCACCACCTTCAAAGAAAAGGATGTTCTTTAAGCCTGAAAACCAATCAGATTGCATTTTTCCATTTAAGTAGGCTAAGGTGGAGTTCTTAAATGTATTGTAATAATTAATGTGCCATATCAAATTTGGCTCTCAACATAAGTTTTGTCTCTCAAGATGAAGTGTTGTCACCTCTGATCACCCCATGTGCAAAAACAAAAAATGTAACCACTACAGGGATGATTCATATGATTTATTAATTCATAGTCATACTGTATGTACAGTTACCAGCCACTTTAATAGTAACACCTGTACACCTGCTGATCTCCTGGGATTTTCACATACATCTGTCTCTAGAATTTATGCAGAATGGTGCGAAAAACAAAAGACATCCAGTGAATGACAGTCCTGCAGTCAGAAATGCCGTGCTGATGAGAGAGGTTGAGCTGACAGGAAATGTACAGCAACTCAAATAACCACTCTTTACAACTGTGATGAGCAGAAAAGCATCTCAGAATGCATAAAACAGCAGATACTGCAGCTACTACAGCAGAAGACCACACAGGTTTCCAGTCCTTTCAGTCAAGAACAGAAGTCTGAGGCTACAGTGGTCACAGACTCACCAAAACTAGACAGTTTAAGATTGGAAAAAGATGAGGCGACATTAACATTGCCTTCTGATGCCATTCCACACCTTTTTTTAGTGTAATTACATTGCCAAATATGTGTTTACAATCTTACAGTGTGGTTACAATGTATCAGACAGTGGTGCTAAACTAGTAGTCCTCACTTGAACTCATATTGCATGCAACAAACTTCCCCCCAACACATGTAACTATCTCGCAACTGTCCGAGTAGTGTGTAAGTTTGTAGCTACATCCGAACTCCAAATAACGATGTGAGCAATTTAGATATGACTTCCTCACTACATGTGTTTAATTCAACCCTGCTTATGGCACACAAAAAAATGGAATATTTTAGACAAAAAAAAAGTGCTGTATAAATGAAGATTTTTAAAGGTCTTTCATTTTATTGTAATTAGAAACAACACCTGCATTACATTAGAAACAGAATTTAAAAAAAAAAAAGAGAGAGAGTGCACACTCTTAAATACCATATGCATTTGTACAACATGCACTCTTGTACTTTACACCCTTGCCCATCATAAATGGATTTAGTGTACTTCCGTGCATATTCTCAAGAAGATCAGGTGCTTATAGCAAGAGGTATTCAGAAACCATGTGCAGTTAGCTACAGCATGGAGGCAACAAATTTAACACACCAGAGCACAATCTTAATTATTTTTGTAAAATTGAGGTACACTACATATTGCCCTCTTGATCATGCCTGAGTTACCTTCATGATCAGATTTTGAACCTGATTTCCATCATGGTGTGTTTTTTTGCCCCATTAATGAAGACTTTTAGCAGCAAAGACCCCAATCTTAAGATGACTAGCAGGTGCATAATGAATGTAGCGTGCAAGTTCTGCTAATGATGACATCCGCTGTCATGTTTACTAATGATCTCATCATAGATATCAGACAGTGTGATCAAATTAGCATACACATGCACGCTCCGAATTGCTGTTTTAGGCAGGAATCATATTCATGTATGTCAGTTTTGAATTGGATATGCTTTTATAGGTAATATTAAGTGGAATAGATATTACAGGCAGGCATGAGAGCTTTCCAAAGTTTGTAAATGATACAACCCCTCAGGGAAACCCCCTTTCCAAAGATGTGGGGCTGACGATAGTTTTATTATTTCACTCACTATCTAATTTTAGGAAGCTAGCCATCAGATACAAATTACCATTTACTCATTTCATATCGGGGGCCATAATAGCTGAGCAGTTAAGGGTCTGTGCCAGAGTTCCTACCAGGAGCCTGCTCACTTATAAGTTGTTTTGGATCAATGAAAGTAAATGGAAATTTTTTGCTTGGGATAAAATTCAGCCTTTAAAAATTTAGTCAAAGAAACTGAATGGGCAATTACAGGAATAGCCTCCTTTGGCTTCTGCAATTTTCACCTCACAGCAGG